TTTCTACAGAAAACATTCGACTATAAATCGCAAATTTTCAGTTGGGTTCAAGGAGTCTTTTATTAAGGCACTTGTTCTTTCATCACTCTCTATCTCTGCTAGTAACAATTAATAAACGCGCCTAATAACAGTTTTTGATTGTTACCTTATCAAGTACTTAATCCTTTATTAAAAAGGTCAGCTGGTATACATTATTATTACCACTGATAATAGAGAAAAAGAGAGAGATGCTAACAACAGCTCAACAACCACTTCCACAGAGACCTCGTGGAAATAATAATGGTGTTGACGTACAACATAATGTACCACAACAGCAAGAACAATATTACCCGCAGCAAAAGTTCTATCCACAAGCGCCAAATTTTCAAGAACGAGTTCAAGTATATGGTAATAACCAAAACCAGTTAGCGCACGGTGCGGCTGAACAGAGACGATATGTGCCTCATCAGCCAACCTTAGGCGACTATATTCCTAGTCATAACCGTCTACTTCAAGGTGCAGCTGATCAAAGACCATATCAGCCCCAACAGCCAGATTACAGGGCTTTTTCAAACGGCCAAGGACCAGTAATACAAGAAGATAGACGGTTTTACAATAGACCATTTCTAGTTGATCATTGGACAAGGCGCAACTATAACCAATGGCAGAATGGTCGATTTGACCGACCGTTCGTGCCAAGAACCAATGGTCAGACTAATAGAATGAAATATGATGGTAGACCATGGCAGCAGCAACTGTCATTTGTTAGGTTTAACCCTTTGAGTCCGGGATTATTTTTCAGCACTAAGAATAATTAATATTTCAAATCAATGTTTATTTTTTTTAAAATATCATCAAATACACAATTTAGAATGCCTGTAGTGAATGATAGTCTTTAAAACAATCGATTAGGCACAATCCCACATCACACTCGGTACATTCATACGACGTGTCTCTCCTAGATTTTGACCACTGATTTGAACATCAAAAACATTTTTATTCCAAATTTCTGGCGTTTTGTCGGTATATATTGTTTGAAATGCAAACGGCCCTTCCATAGCTTCAGAGATTCATCAATGCAAAGATTTTTGTATGGCTTCATGCAGGAGAAAAATATTTTTTTCAGTTCAGTAACAATCGGCCGTATTTTGTAGAGATTATCCCCAGCATTTCGAGTTTGGTTATCACTAAAATGACGGTTAGTTAGTAACGCTCTGAATCGATCTCGGGTGAAAAGTTCAGCAAATATAGGTGTTGCAATAAGATGATCCACAGACCAGTAATCAC